TACACCCCCTAGCGGCATGGCGGTGAATTGCAGAGCAACGCGTTCCCTCGACGCAGAACTTCGAATGCTCAACGACCTACGGCGTAGGTACGGCGTCGACGTGACGCAGAAGCATAAACTAGGCTTAAGATGAGGGTCATTTGAAAGAGTTGGAGGCTGTTTGCAATCGTGTGAAAGGCCGCTGGTGTGGCTCACCCTGGGTGTTCTGAAAGTAGTGCCTCCACAGGGGACGGATCTTGTCCTGGCCACCAACGTCCCACACGGTGAAGCTAATGTTCTTGTACTCCACCGTCTCTACATTGAAACCTGAAAAAAAAAGTATAGATATTAAATTGGATTAACTCAGAGGTTTTATCTGGTTCCTGGTCTCACTCTCTTCTCTCACCTCTTTTCCACCCACCTCCCCTCTCTCCCTAATTTTTCTCAGTTCCCACCAGCCTCCACATTGAGTTGGGTTTTACTAGAGGTTTGTTCCTGTTATTAAAAAATCTTTCCTCTCTATAGACACCAAATATTTACTCGTTGTGGGAACTGTTGGATTTCTCTATTCATTTTGTAAGGTCTTGACCTTACTATGCAAAGTGCCTTGAAATAATGTATGTTGTGATTTGGTGCTATACATTCTCTTAAGCCATCAGCAAATATGTGTTTCCTCACGCACCGATTGTTGGGATGGTGGTGACGATCTCCCCTAGCTTCAGCTTGTAGAGGATGGTTGTTTTCCCGGCAGCGTCAAGCCCCACCATGAGAATCCTCATCTCCTTCTTGCCTATCAGGCTCTTCAGCAGGTTCCCGAAGATGTTCCCCATGACGACTGGCGGCTCTCAACCCAACTGCAACAGAACTGTGACACAGCGAGCTGAAAGGACCACTTTCCGTTCAGCAGCCAAGTCAAAAACCACACACACACACACACACACACACACACACACACACACACACAGTGAGACACAGTAGCTCTTCAAAAGCAACTCTCCACATTACCACCTCATTATGGCTTTGAGCCACCTCAGAGGAGCAGCCGGTAAGAGGCAGACTTCACACCTCGGCAGGCCGCTGACCTGACTTGAAGGCTGCTGCTTTACACTGACAGCTCACTGGGGAAACAGCCCGCCGCACTGGATCTCTGTTATGTGGATCAGCTTTCAAGTGGTGCAGGGTAACCACCTTTTATATGCTGTTTGCTGGCAGCCGAATAAACACCGGCGTAACAATCAATTCATATCACATTATGTGACACATAACCTCAGCTGCTGAGGGTGTATTTGTGCACACAGCCTGTAAGCACTTGTCTGTGGTCCAGCCTGCTGTGGGCTCTGTAATAGGCCAACTCTGCAGGCAACTTGTGCTCACACACATTCTGCCTGACTGGCTGCTCTGAAGGAGGAGAGGAAGCATCCGGGGTTTAATGGAGGACAGACTGAGCATCACTCTTTTCTCTGGGAGGCTTTTCTTTTTGAAGCTGAACATCCCAGTGGGTTTAACTCACTGATTAGCTTGCTGCCCATTCATTTCATATCAAACGCAGTGTAGCTGCTAGCTTTAGCCTGTCACAGCTGCAGCGGCCGTGCATCCGTGTACATCTGTCATGACGGCTCCTGCTGCACAGCCCGGGGATGGAAATGAGGCTGATCACGTATTTACAGCTCGATGACATAATTACACTGAGCAAACATTAACTGGTGTCATCGGTGTTGCGGAAAAAAAATCCCCCGGGTCAATTGGTGTTCCGTAATCCCCCCGTACAGTCACGACGAGCGGCACCAGTCGGCCTCTCGTCGTCGATCGCTAATTTACCCGGGAGCGTCGCACGCCGTTTAAACAGCACTGACTCCGCCGCGGTCACCGTTAACTCCCGTGAACCGTCTCTGGAGCTTTTTCACCATTATTCACACTCACCCGTCCGCGGCAGGAAGCAGCGCGACCAGCTGGAGTCAGGCAGAGGACTGCGGCGAAGTCTCGCGATGGCACGACGCTGCTGGGAGGCAGGGTGTTCTCGCGAGAGCACACGTCCGTCTTCCAGGAGGATCGAAGAGGCCAGAGGCTCTGCTGCAGGACCACTGACATCAACACTGACAGCAGTACTGACACCCAACAATTCATTTTACCGCATCAGCAACATTATAGTATTATACAACATTATAATAAATAACTTTCTTCTTATAATAATGTGATCTCTGCTGCAGGGCCACCGTCAGCCAACTGTCATCCCACTGTCTCCTTATCAAACATTTAATTCAACTGCAGCATCAAGCTGGATAGTATGGAAGCCCATTTCTGCCTCTTTGTTAAAGAAAATAAATCCTGTATTGCATTATAATGAAAAACTTTCTCCTAATAATAACTTAGTATCTCAAAATAATGACTTGTGATCTCAAAGTAATGACTTGCTAACTTAAAATGATGACTTAGTATCTCAAAATACAGTTGACTGTCTGCACAGCTTGTATCACACATTATCCATCTGACAAGCATGAATTACCATTGTTTAAATGTTTACTTGCTGTTCCAGAGGCCCAATGCCTTAACCAATATGAAATGTAACTGTGAGTCTTCAGGCAAACCTGCTTGCATAATTAAAACAGGAATCATCCTAATGAATAAGTAAATGACTCGCTGTAAGAGGATGCTGGGTGATACTACCTGGCAGCAGCCTCTCTTTGTGTCACTGATAATGAGGTGACAGGAGGCAACAAACATAAGTTGAATAAATATTGTAGCAGGTTACTGACCTTGGGTAGTGATGTTTTAAGATTTAATGTATTTTCTAAAGGTGATGCTTTTCATTTATGTGCTCTTACAGGTTACAACCAGGAAGGAACTTCACCTCCCTCCAAGGTTTTTGGGCTGGTTGATGTAAAAAATCAATAATAATTGCAAGATCATTTTCATCATATTTATATATATATATTTCTTTCTCTATCGAATTTGCATGTTCTTCCCTTTTCTGTGTGGGTTCTTTCCTGGGACTCTGGCTTCTTCCCATGGTCCAAAGAGATGCAGATTGGGGAAAGGTTGATTGGAGACTCTAGATTGACCCCCCCCAGTGATCCTCTAAGGATGCAACTGTAAAAATAATAAATTGAGAGATGACAATTTTAAAAAGTCCTATCTATATTGATTTAATGTTTATGCATTGTACAAGCACAGTGAGGAGGTATACCTCAACTGATTTATCTCAGATTTGTCCTTCTCTGCCCAAAAGAAGTTTGTAATATCGTTGGATATTATGATATAATTTGTGGCCATATTGTCCAACCCGACATATGAGCATCGACCATTGTTATGAGAAGACACACCTGTGACCTGCAGCCCCACAGTCATAGGTGAATCCAACATTTATTTCCCTCTTCCTCTCTATTGCATGTCAGTCAGTCAGTGGTCCAGCACTGGATGTTTTTATCAAGTCAGTGGTGAAGGCCGGGGAAATAAAGAGGGGAGCAGATGTTTGCAGCTGCAGACCAGATTACGGGGTGGAGTGGATGGTGGGGGAGCCTGCCGAGTTTGTGTGCATGGGGAGTTTCGAGAGGGTTACAGCGGGCTCGGGTGGTGGCAGGAGAGGTGGGGTGGGGAGTTATGACTTAAAGGAGCCTTTCCTCTGAAGTGTCTGCCAGCGTGCACCCCAGCAAACACAATCACAAGTCTCGCTGGTTCTGCTAGCTGAACTAATGAGGGCCTGTGCGTTGAGGGCAGGGGCTTTGATGTTCTGGGTAGCTGGCTCCTTGTGTTTTCTCTCCCGCTCTCCTTCTCTGCCTGTCCCACATCAAAAATGAAAGGGGAGTTGAGAAGCAGATGTTTTGAGGCATGTATTTATACAGAGTACACTTTATTCACCCCCTCCTCCATACCCCAGTTGTCCTTTGCTCTGGCATCCCTGCTCTATGTACAGCGAAGATCTATCTTTCTATCTTTATAGCCAACTAAACACACTAAATCGCCTTACTTTATACATATAATCATCATGTCAATCAAAGTGGGTAACTTTTATCTCTCCTAACTTCCTCTCTCTGCCTCCCTCTCTTTAATTTCAGCCCAGTCTGGATGTCATTACTCGGGGGGGCAGTCAGTGTGTTGCTATGCATGTGTCTGTGTCTGCAGCGATGAGGGGGAGAATGGAAAAGGGAGGAAAAGAGTGCGGAGAGCTCGGGAGAGAGAAAGCAATCCCAGGCTGTCCACCAACCTCTGTCTCACACATGTCACAGAGTGACAGGAAATTCCCTTTTGCAGCAGCTGGAGGGTGAAATGATAAAGGAATAACGAAATGCAAACCAGAAATCCAGTCCTTTATTATTCCCCACCAGTCACTGTCTCCTTTTTATTCCTTTGCTAAATACTAAACAGACAGAACAGTTGATTCAGCCACTGGCACTGCCATTCCTCAGGAGTCAAGGGATATTTACCTTAGTCCATACAAACAGGACTTAATTGGTATTAAATCCTATATAGCAGGAGAGGTTTTCCCAGTAGGCCACGCATGGAGACAGTTTGGATCATCTAAGATATCTAGGAATGCTGCGATCATAAATCCAGCCAGGTGCTGACATTAGCGCTTTGCTGTGTGACTAGAATGAGAGTGCAAATCACATGGGTCACCAGGAGTTCTGACAGTTCAGTGTACACACCAGCATGCATGTTTTTGATTGTGCATCAGTGCCAGCATTTCTACATGCGAGTGTCTCTGTATATATAAATCCGTGCTTGTGTTTATGTTTGTGCAGTCTGTCTCCCAGGTAACAGGGACTGAGCGTCCCAACAGCACGTGGTTCAGCGAGCCCCTTCCTTGGCTATGAACCCTGGACAGATGATCCCCTCAGATACTCAGGCAGCAAAGACTGGTATAGTCACCCCCTCTCTGCTCTCTTGATGCTCCTCTCCACTAATAAAAGTCATACTTTAAGGAAACAATATCCTGCGGCCATAAAAAGTCCTTCTCTCAGCATGAAGTGGCCATAAAATAGGCTCTCACCTCCCAAATCTGCAATGCGTAGAGGTTACCCCCCATTTACACAGCAACAGGCACACACTCAAACATACACACACCCCTCAGCACTGGTTCAGGACTAAAGCAAGTCCATCTCTCACTTTGACATGTACTACATGTGGGAAGAATCTAAGGAGTGCTCGGACTGATGATACAGACAAAAGCAGGCACAGAGCAACAGGGTCTCAGTCATGATTTCATAGCAAAGTGACATATCACAGTTATGCCAAGAAGCATATTTTTATATCATTATATTGACATGAATTCATAAAACAGGACTAGTGACTGCTCTTGTGAAGTAATTCTATATTACAATGATATAAATAAATGTAAACGATTAGTTTATTCAGCGTTAAGAGATTAGAGGCTGTCTCCAGAACTAATGTGGTGTCATCTCATCTTGAGTCTTAATAAGATAAGCTTAGAGAAGGCATGCATGTGCTTTCTGTCTTGTTGCTTCTGTGAGAAGGATAAGTATCAAAAGTATCAGTGCTTCAAACATCACAAAAAACCCCACTAAACTCTATTTTGCCTTCGTAAAACCTTCATCCAGACAGATTTTGAGACTGACTCCTCTGTCTGAGCCACAGGTGCAAAATACTGTAAAGTACCATGTGGGATATATTCTGCAGTGAGACTGTTTCTTTAACAGCACAGGTTCAGCATCCTGAGCCAACATCAGACTCAGTCATTAACAACAACCAAAAAGACAGGTCCCAACACCATAATAATATTAATATTAATAATAAATTTACAAATATACATGTACACAGTAAAATACACAGCTATTGTACAAAGAGATGAGTAAGTGTGATGCTTTAACAGAAACATTTTTTTGCTGTTGCTCGTTTTTGTTTTGTGGGATAGAAAAGATGGCGTAGAGGCGGTTTTCATGGCTGAGAGGGCAGCGTCTAAACAAGACAAATGTCATGAATCACCTCTTCAATCTCTGACTTGGCATTTTCAGAATAACAGCGGCTACAAAGAGAAAATAGATCCCAGATGATGGAGTGAAAAAAGGAGAGGTGGGGGAGTAGGGGGTAAACAGATTCTCTGGGAGAGTTACACAAAGAGCAAAACAAACACTCGAAACAACAGGAGTGGGCCAAGGGACAGGCTCATAGTCTTGAGTCCTGGATGGGCAAAGGCAGCTGGGACTGCGGGGTGAACTTGAATCTACTTGCACACGTTGACCCACTCTGTGAGACGACACTCCTCGCACAATACGTAGCAGCACCAGTGAAATCTGCAGTTGCAACGTTCGCTGCGTGTCTGTTTCAGGATGTTGTGTCCTCGGCCGCAGCACAGTGAGCTGCAGCTGTCTGTGTTGTAGCTGGTCTTGTTGCAGATGCGCCCTTGTGTACCTGGAGAGTCCACAGATGCATCACGCTCGCAGAAGTCAGGAGACTTCTCAAAGTACACCAGCTCTCTGGACATGCTGCGGCGGCGGCCTCCATTGAGTCCCCCCGTGCTCCTGGCGCCGTTTCCTGTTCGAGGGTTGAAAACCCCATTGTTCTTGTTCTGGGAGTTGACGAAAATGGCTGACAGGAACTTTTCCTTGAGTAGAGAACCCACAAGCCGGAACTCTGGAGACACGTGCCAGCAGGTCTTAAACTGACAGCTCCCGGATGTGCCGTGACATTTGCACTTCCTCTTCATGTTGTCATTCACTGTCTGTGTGGAGAAAGGTAAGTGATGTCAGCAAAAAAACAAATTACCCTTTTGATTATAAATGCCAGTGAACAGAGAGTCTGCTTTCTGAGCAGCACTGAATACACTGTGGATAAGCACATCATTCACCTGTCTTCCCACCCGGTTGTTATGTATCCTCATGCGAGCGTAGATATCTCTTGGAGACCCGCTGGAGTCCAGCCAGTCTCTGGAGAAACGTTCCCCAAAGCGGACGTCATGGCTGCAGCCCCCCCACTCCCAGGTCTCCTGCATGGAGCTCAGCTCATCTGGTAAAGGCTTGAGCAGGGCGGAGGGGTGGGTGGAGCGCAGGTTAGCGGGCAGGTCGCCATGGCGACCGTTTAACTCCAGGGGTAATGACCGTGTCATGCCGATGCCTACCCCGCCCTTCTGCAGGGTCTGCAGCTGCAGCTGTGTGAGTTTCAGTCGGATCTTGTCATCGTCCTGGCGACGCTTGGCCTCGCAGCCGCACCCCCGCAGCTTGCCCATGCTGCAGGCCGTGGCCACAGAGTGAGCCACACCCGCTGCCAGTAAGGCCAGGGAGAAGGCACTCTCGCGGTAACCTGGGAGCAGGAGTTGAAAATGGTCAACAGAGTATCTCTATAATCGTCCAGCGTCTGTGCGTAAATGTCACGCGTAAAATAATATTTACTCTCTATACTAGGGTGAACGTTTCCTTCACAAACCCCTGGTAACATTTTGACCATCCTTGGCTTGCCTCGGACTCTCACCCCTGTTGAGGATGGTGTTGTGGTGTGGCACCTTGCCGAGGCCCTCCAACGAGGAGCAGTTCCACCGTTGGTCCCTGAACTGGTGCTGACACTCGTGGATGGCCACCTGGATGCCCTGCAGAGCGGAGGCTGTCACGTCGGGACTCCGCACACACATCCGCATCTGACGCTTGCTGAGGCCTGCCAGCCTCAGGCACACGGAATTGGGGGTTAGCACTGGATCTCCTGCCACCTTCAGGCTGAGGATATCATTACACAGCACCCTGCAGAGAGAGAGAGGGAGGGAGAGGTGGTTGGTAATGATGGATCATTAGAGATGGTCAAGAGTTCATCAGTCAAATCCACAGCAGTGTGTAGCAGAGATGATTTGTAAAGTTGAGGAAATCTGAAAAAAAACTTGAAACCAGTTGGATTTAAGAAGGATATGCGACAAATCTCGTTTGATCCATCTCGCCTCCAAGGGATTTGCTGGATACACTTGGCAATAAAACGTGTTAATCATTTGCACACGTATTTGTGTGTCTATTGATGTTGCTTGAAGCTGGAAAAAGATAATGCTAAACAGATCATTCAGTCAAGCAGTCCCAAAACAGACAAATACATCTTCATGAGAAATAACAACAGTGGGACTCAGGTTGAATTCTGAATGGCACAGTTCAGACTTATCAAAGGCAACAAAATCAGCAAACATTGAATTCTATGTTTCCATGTTGTGAAATCAGAGGCAGATGTTTCACTTCTCCACTGAACATGTAAAATGTTGGTTTAAATCACACATCACAGTAAACTTCACTAACTCTTCCTGAAATCCACGAAGCCAGACCCGTGCATGTACCAACAGCTCTCCTGGGCGCTCTCAAGTGCACTTACGTTAATGCAGGTGACATAAGTGCTGCTGCCAAAATCAAGAACTGGTCCCAACGGAGTTTGTTTGATAGCTCCATTTTGTTAAGCGTCTTTCGCGACGTGACATTAAACCACTCGTGATGAAGTCCTGGACCGGATAAGAATGTATGGGGGAAAGAAGAAGACGAGTGGAGTATTATCGATGCACCGCCAAACGACCGAAGAGTGAAGACGGAGAACAGAGGAGCTCGGGGGCGAGAGTAAACGGGAGGGGGGAGAGACAGAGGGGAGGGGAGGAGATGCCTCCACAGGCGACTGTTTGCAAAATATTGGCCAATATCAAAGTCGGATCAACAGTTGATCGTTGTATTATTTTATAAGCGTGATCTCTGATCCAAGCGTAAAAACACGTCTCCAAACTTTTACGCACGGGCACCACTTTCCATAACCGTGCACATATCGTGTCTCAGGTTCTGTGGTTAATTTAAAATACTGAAAAATATGCAAATATTAATGAGACAATGATACATAAATGTTTTTATTGGTGATTTTTTGTCTTTTGGATGGGTGGATATAGAAGACACCGATCTTTGGAGACCAAGAACAAAAGAAACGCTCTGCAAAATGAAATATGGAAAGTCAACAGAAGATTTTTGTTCATAGAGGGGTGAGTTAAATGATGAATGGGGGGGAGGGTAGAGCTGCCGGTTCCACTGTACGACAGGGAGGCAGCAGCAGGCAGGCGGCTCCGCTAACAGACCCTGCAACAATACTGTTTTTTAAGTCATGTGGTCCCCCCCTCCCCTCCTTCCTCCCCTCCATCCTCCCACCTCCACCACAGCGGCTGTTCTTCATTGTTGTGTTTGAAACAACTTCACTTTGTCACGCCAAAGTCTTTATTTCAGGGTATAACATTATATTCATAAATCAGGGGAGAGACAGGATTTTTTGTATGATCATTAATCAAATTGTGGTGTCACACGCTGCCACACAAACTATCTGCAAGTTACAATTATGGATTCGTTAAAATGAGTATGATGCGTTACGGGAATTGAGTTTTAATGACTTGTACGCACAATAAAAGAGATTATATTAATTATGGCCTGTATTCAAATTCGTTTGTCATGCTCAGTAACGACCAGGCCTGTGGAACCAGATGCTCAGGCTTTTCTGCACGGACTTTGATGAGGATGTGGCAGCTCTGCATCAAATCAATCAGCATATTGATCTCAGTTAATACGCGCAATATCCACAGCTCCACAGGTCATCAGTAACAATGTTTATCATCCAACGAATTAATTGGTATTTCTCGAACAAATCTCCAACAATGACAGGCGCTGCTGTTGCGACCGATAAGCAGAATGTGGGTTACTTTCATAAAATTAAGTTAAAACCCCCCTCAAACACGGTTCGCACAGTGACACCAATTCATCTAATCTCCTTCCATTCCCTAAGCTGCAGCAATGAAAAGTGCATTAGCATTCTGGCTTGGCGTGTATATCTAAGTGGCTTAAAAAGTGATTTGAAGTTGATTTGTATATAAAAGGCCCCCTTTATCCGGATTGAGGCTTTAATCTGCTCGGTGTCGCTTGACTGCTCCAGGAAGCCCATTTGAGCACCTTCATATAAGACTGGAGTATAAACGTAGGGTGGCTGTCATTAAAGCTTTTTTTTTTTTTTTTTTTTACAAAAGCCCACTTCCTTTTACTGTCATCCGAGGGAAAGCGAGAGAGATGGCGAGGTAGGGGGAGGGAGATTATTTTACGTGCAAACCGCTGCAGTGACTAATGTGGGACATGCAAATTAGCAGATAAATGTCACATAATGAAGCATTTCACCCGAGAACCAACATGGAGGAGTTTTGGGGACATTTACGCACACTGCGCTCCTAGTCTGGGGCTTATAGATGGAGATGCCGCAAAGTGGCTCAAGCTGTGATTACACTGGGCTACATGTGCGTCGAGGGAGGTCTGCAGGCCAGATGTTTGGAATGGTTTTTATTCTGACTCGTCCCCCAACTTTTCCTGCTCATCATACATCAAACTTCTGATTGGAGACCGTACTTAATCTCTCCCGCGTTTCAGGAAAAAAAACTGTAGCCCGGCAGGCATGTGTGAGTTATAGGACAACTGAGAGCTTATTATGGTTAATTTCTGCATTCAAGATGTGTTGTGCGTGTGCGCGCGCGTCTTGGGCTGTAAAGAGTGGTGATAATGGTTTTATTTATTCGGCCTCATGCAAATCGGTATCTAAATATGTTGAGATACAGTCACAGAGGCACATTATAATACATAATTATTAATTACATTAAAGATATGATCAGCATAATAATGTAAATAATGTAAGTGGATCAGTTGGATCAGTCTAAAACGGAAAGGACATGTACAGAAATGTCCTAATAGTCACTGCACATTTTCAGAGCGCGTTCGCAGAAAGGAGGAGGAGATGCGGTTAGGGAGTGGGCTATTCCAACCACCGGGTAAAAAAGGCCAGTTTTAGATGGCTCATATTCCTCTGTAACTGTATTGCACCGTGACACCAACTTTGAGCAGCGGCGGAGCACCAAACCCCGGGCGCACCCACAGCAGCATCTGCACCAACACATCACTGCTCCAGGGGCACTTCATCTTTACGCACGCAGGACTGGATGTGCATGGAAACAAGTGGGGAAAACTACTCTCAGCCGCCGCACACATTTGCATGGAATCGATTCTGTGATGAGATGACCGTGAGATTTCACCAGTAGCCTAATATGCGCAACACTGTGGATTGCCCTCATTTTTTTTCTCTTCCTTTCTCTTTTCTGCCCAGTTGTGTTTCCTTATTCATTGTGCGCCCTATGAAGAGCATTAACTATCCCTCCCTCCAATCCTATTGAAAGGGCTCCGAAAAAAAACAGAGGGAGATGAGAGCAGCAAATCCCTTTTTTATTCCCCTCGTAGCGCTCAATAAGAGAAGAATGTGTTGCCTATCAGTCACCGAGGGGATCAAGTCTTCGGGACTGTCCCACGCGTTCAATGCGCCGCGCAGAGCATCACTGAGAGAGACAGAGTGAAGAAGAAGAGGAGGTCTGCAGCAGCAGCAGCAGCAGCAGCAGCAGCAGTAGCATCCTGCCCGGACACTTCACATCATTTAACAACCTGTCTCCACTTAACATCCATTCAAGCCAATCATAGGGGCTGTCTGCTTCTCTCACCTCTCAAGCCCTCTCACTGGACTCTGGTGAGTATTTATCCACCTTACAGCGTTTGGTCATTTTAACCACTTAACCTTAAAATAATCAGAAATTAAGTGTTTTTGCAATTTGAAAACACAGCCTACCACCTTGTTTTTAAGCTTACTGTTTTTTGTTTTTTTTTAATGTTTTTTTAATCGTGCGTAATTGTGCCTGAGTGTTGTTGCTGATTGTTGATATTTTCCTCCTGAAGACACGATGAGGAGTCTGGCGCTGCTGCTGGGGGTGAAAGCCGCTTGCATCCTGCTGGTGTCTTCGCTCTCGGGCACAGGGGCCGTGAACAACAGCGGCCGGTGGTGGTAAGTTCAGCGATTCTCGGAGGCCTGCACGAGCCTGTATATATATATAGCAGCTATATAAACGTGTGTGTGTGTGATGATGCATTCATTCAGATGTCAGCATGCAGGCATAGAAATCTCCAGTTAAACGCTGGTTGGAGCTGGGGAAGACCATATGAACAGGCTCCTTTATTGCTGCGCGCTTGGAATAATGTGTTAGTTTTGGCACTGCTCACAACTTCTGTTCAGCCTCTGAAAAAAAGAGCCACCACATGATCTTGTGGGATTTCATTTCCAAATTACCCCACGAGCGCAGCTATAAATTATTCAACTTCTTTTTTTTATTTTTTATTTTGGCATCATTTATATGAGATTGCAGCTGAATTTAATTGACAATAACATAACTACATTTCTAAAAGTCTAATTAAAGTTTTATCTTTTATTTGTGGTTAATGTGATTCCCCCCACACCCCCTCTCTGCCTCCCCGTCATATGGACAATGTGGTTTGAACACAAGACATTTTTCAGTCCAATGCGGGACAAATTAAATATGGATTTATTTCATAGCCCAGCTGAAAGGAATACGAGGTTTCAGCCATGCTCGTGTTGATCTAATACTGTAGCCTGCATTCCTCAGTCCATATACTGCGACCTGAAACTACAACCAGCCAGTTGCACAATATTTTGTTCAAGAAAACAAAACCAAAATCCGATCTGTGTAGTTTTGCTTCAGTGAGATTATTGTCTCGCTTGTTTAAACATCCATAAACTGTGGGCTGGGTTTGTTGAGGTAATGATTTCAACAAAGTTTTTGTCGTTTTTGCGGTGCCATCAAATGGGCAGCATTTTGCGCACAGCGTCCGTTTTCAAATATTCCAAGATTCAGCTCGAATCCAAGAAAACAGCTAGAGAGAGAGAGAGAAAAAAAAGGAAAAGAACGGGAATGAGGAATGAGGGAAAACACCCCCAAAAATACGAGATCGTTATTAATCTTGCAAGCACTCACCACACAACTGCCTGCCTGGGTCAGTCCTCTCAACAGGCCCAAGACTCGCACGCTTTTCCCGATAATAATGCTTAACAAGAGACAGCCATTAAATGTTGACACAGAAATCTCACAGGGAAATGCCAACGAGTAAAGTGGAAAATTAAACAGCCTGTGAACTGAAACACTAGAAATGTTGGATCACAGTAAAGAGTTCATTTGAGCCAGTGAGTCAGCATTAGAAAGAAAGCACAGGGTACTGATAACAACAGCTTATAATATAATATCTTCTAACACAAACTGAGTTGTGTTAGAAAATGCATGTTACTCTTATCAAGTTTTTCCGCATAGAAGATTTCAATTTTCTTTTATCAAATAGCCAACTGTTTGGTGAGTTTTTGATGACTGGACACATTTAAAAATTGAAAAAACTAAACTAAATTCTTTGTTAATGAGTTTGTCCATGTTTGAAATGTGCATTGTACCAGGCCAGGCAACAAAAAGCAGCCAAGTCTCAGATAAAACATTCTATTTTCAATCAAATCCAATCATACTGTATACCGGGTCTGGACAAATCTGTAGATTCATGGTCAATGTGCAGAGGAGTGTCGTTCACTTGTTTTCAGTTTTTGGTTTATAACCAACAAGAAAAATGAACAGATAATAAATATATGTGATATTTAACAGGACAATACAACCTGTGGAGAAGTGAGCACACAATCTAACGGTGTCTTTATCCTGATGAGTGCATGACTGATACTGAATATCATTAATAATTAGAAATATTCTTGTTTAATTGAGAGGAGCTATACCAGGGTCAAGTGATTTTAATGCAGCCAGAGGTGAAAATACTTCAGATTCATGTTATTTGCCAAACCAGAAACCTGCATTTTGTCTCAGACTCACTGTCTCCTCATGGTCTTGGAACAGCATGTGTCACTGTTTGTTATTTTAGTACATAATGAAAACAGTAATTTTAAAAAGGCACGTGAGATGCCAAGACACTTCAGTTTGAGAGTTTAGAAGGTCACAGAGGGAGCTACACTCACACACTGCCAGCTTCTTCACTCCTTCACTCTTCATTTTCCTTGTCCTTGTCTTGTGCCAGGGGTATTGTCAATGTGGCCTCCTCCTCCAACCTCCTCACCAATTCCAAGAACGTGCAGTTGGTCCTGGACCCCAGCCTGGCCCTGCTGAGTCGTCGCCAGCGCCGGCTGATTCGCCAGAATCCTGGCATCTTGCATGCCATCGCTGCTGGGCTGCACACCGCCATAAAGGAGTGCAAGTGGCAGTTCCGCAACCGCCGCTGGAACTGCCCGACCACCCACAGTCCAGCAGTTTTTGGCAAAATCCTCAATCGTGGTGAGCCTTTCTTATCTTTCTCACCAGTCGATATTGGACAATTTAGGGCAGGATGCATTAGAACAACATGTATGCATTCAAATGGTTTTGTTTCCTAAACATTTTCCAATTTTGGGCAAAAAAGGTTGGATCAGTTCTAATGGTGAGTGGTGATGTTGTCTTTTCAGGTTGCCGAGAGACAGCGTTTGTATTCGCAATTACCAGCGCAGGGGTGACCCATGCTGTGGCCCGCTCATGCTCAGAAGGAGCAATTGAATCGTGCACATGCGATTACCGCCGCCGAGGTCCTGGAGGGCCGGACTGGCACTGGGGGGGCTGCAGTGACAATGTGGACTTTGGCAGGATGTTCAGTCAGGAGTTCGTAGACTCCAGCGAGAGGGGCAGAGATCTGCGCTACCTCACCAACCTACACAATAACGAAGCTGGAAGAATGGTAAGGATTTGATGGAACCTGCCATGTTTGTTTGTTTTGTCAGAATTCCCAAATGTTTTGTGATTTCCACTTTGTGGGTGATCTTATCAGTAACCTTTGGTCTTCCTCTGTGCAGACAGTGTCTTCAGAGATGCGTCAGGAGTGCAAGTGCCATGGTATGTCAGGCTCCTGCACCGTACGTACCTGTTGGATGCGCCTGCCCAGCTTCCGCACTGTGGGGGACTTCCTTAAAGACCGGTTTGATGGAGCTTCCAGAGTCGTATACGCCAACAAGGGAAGCAATCGAGCCTCTCATCGAGCTGACCCCCGCCACCTGGAACCTGAAAACCCAGCTCACAAACCCCCCTCCGCCATGGACCTGGTCTATTTTGAGAAATCACCAAACTTCTGCTCCCACAACAGCAAAACTGGCACTTTGGGAACCTCTGGGAGAACATGCAACAGCTCATCTCCAGGCCTGGATGGGTGTGAGCTGCTGTGCTGCGGACGGGGGTTTAAGACCCGGACAGAGACTGTGACTGAGCGCTGCAACTGCACCTTCCACTGGTGCTGCCATGTCAGCTGCTTGAACTGTACCAGCACACGAACGTTACACCAGTGTCTATGATGACAGGTGGAAAACCAAATGAATATTTAGGCATATTTGAAGGGCAAAGAAAAAGGTCTTCGCAAAACAGGTATTTGGTTGAGAAAGCGACGAACAGGCAGGTGGTTGGAGATGTTAGGTAGAAGTTAGAGAAGCTTCCAGGTTGGTGAACTAATACAGGGAAAACTTTGGCACAAAAACACAATCAGTAGTTTTTAAGAGGGGGGAGATGGAGAAAAGCACAAATACAACAGGTAACAGGAGGAGAACGTGTACTTAAAGAAGGTATTTAAACACTGCAACTCTCCATGTAGAAGTGATTTCATCCACATCTCTTGAGAGTTTGCACTAGTGTGCACAAAGAGAAACAGAAATAAAGGGACATAGTGATAAAGATGAGGTTGCACCTGTAACCACATACCACAAACCTCTTCTCCCCTGCTGAGGGAGGAAACTGGACACAAAGTCATACAGATGTTTTTTGTGGAATGAGAGCCACAGACATGTTCTCTCATAAACTGGCGGAGACCTCAAAACAGAGGGAAGTTATTTAAAAAGAAAAACAAATCTATGTTTTGTTTTCTTCTGCTGAAAGTTTTTGTTTTCATGTGAAGTTAATCTCCAGGGATGGACTCTCTCTTCCCAAATTGTGTAATTCGGCTCCTGGATTTATAATTTCATTTTTTAATTAAGATTTCTCTGGAGTTGAAAAAACACCTCAACCCTGATTTTCTACTCCGACTTCGCACAGGATGGTTTTGATGTTGCACAACATGGACCGGTGCTTGCCACGTAAAACAAGAAACTGAGAAAGGGAAATTCATTTGAATGTATTATCAATACACTGAATATCACCGCCTGTAGTGGGACAAAACAGTACATAACATACAACTGTACATAAAAATAACAAAAGTGAATTCTTTGTTCATGAGCTGGTCCAGTTAGTAGGAAAATTTGTATTATGTCAGGCCACATCTCAGTGAAAACCTTTTATTTTGAAGGAGCCTGTGCAAAAGAAATCATACTGTATATCAGCTAAGAGAACCAAAATACTGTAAATATTAAAATATATGAATATATTTATAATGAAGTCTCTTGTAAGTTTTGCTGTATGATTTATGCACATGTCAGTGGCTGGACAATATTCTATCATTAGCGTCAAGTCAGGGGATGTTCGGATCTCATGCCTTTTTCTATTTTGGTGTAATGTAGCTGATTCAAATCCGACTCTTACTAGAAACAGAACATTATCACTTTTTTTTGCTTGTTTCCTGTAAAAACACTTGTGTTTGGTCATGCACTGAATATTTACCTTTTTATCACTGTACATATGAAATATTTATTTCTGGGGGTGTTTTTATACTTTTATAGAGAGATGTAAGAAAATACATTTTTTTTAGATTTTAATCAAAAGATTTAGGTGCCAGCTGGTTTCGTATTGTATAATAGAACAATAAAGTCTATATTTTCAATTAAGTTGCCCTCCTGAATGTGTCAAAAGATGCTATTATGCCTGTTGTGGTTTGTGTTTGAGATAGTTTTGACAACCAACAAAGTGAACATATAAGCCTATCCCTGGGTGTCCTCTGCTTAATCCTATTACCACCACCAAAGCAGCCTCTTTCCCCCAGCTCACAAAACATCCCTGCATCTGTGCTCCCACAACCACAGAACCGGCCCCAGCTTATCCAGCCACATACCTTATTTTATACAGGATTTTACTGCATTGAATGTTTTTGCTTCATTTGTTTAATGTCGGAAAGAAATAAAGAAATAATGTGAAGAAAAAAGAATGCTCCCCCCCCCCTCAAACCCCTGGCAACCTGACTGACCACGGGAGTTTGGAAAGCTTTGCACTTTCTCTCGAGCCCACCGCAGCATAGGAGCAGTCGGGGTCATTCAGACAGAACGCAGTGGAGACGCAGTGAGGCCACCAACGCACACCCTGCAACCCAGAAGTCCAATTAACAGAGCGACAAGAGTTGTAGCTGTGAGGGCAGACAGGGTGACGTACAGTCACACCAAGGAGAGTGATGAGAAAAGTGCAGGAGGACGAGGGGCTGCTTTGCTTGTGCCATGAAATTAGAGGTTATGACTGAGCAGAGAGATGAAGAGATGAAGATAATCCAAATAAGAAATTAGAGGAAATTGTTCCAATATACTGCAAATTAGGGCGACAGATGAGGTGGACAGCCTGAGACCTCGAGTTTATATTGATCACAGATCTAATCTCTAATATTTAGTCTCTTACAGGAGAACATGGGCGACCACATGCTCAAACACAATGGCTCACAGTGTACATGTATCTATATATATATTTGTCTATATCTCTTCCTTTCTTCCTCATACTATATTTTCTCAGCAAAATAGTACATTATTTTTCAAAGGTTTTCTTATCCTTACATCAAGTAGAGTCATACAAAGCATTTCACTGCATGTTGTATTGTGTATGGTTGGTGTTTGTGACAAATTAAAATTTGAATTTTAAGTTGCACATTGTCAACAACAGTGAAAGCAAACCACAACTCAGGCTTGAGAGAAAAATGATGCACAATCATGGAAACATGGCGATAAAAAAACGCAAAAGACAGAGAAAGTGTCTGATAATTTCAAAAAGAGGAGGGAAGGCAGGGTTCAAATCGCAGGCGTGAGAGTGAGGTGGGAGAGTCAGTGGAGAGAGTGAGTGGAGGGGGTGCTGCCTGTGGGAGTGCTGAGGAGTCAGTGATAATTAGCTCAATTAGTGACAAAGGCAGTGTAATAAATACCGACTTAGTGTCTGGATCCCTGCTGGCCTCTCCCTGCGCAGCCTGCGATGTGGCCCTGGCCTGACGGACAATTCATTAAACTGACAAAATACCCCACCGTCCAGGCGTGACGCAGCGAGTTAGCCCCCTACAGGCCCGGCTCATTGTTCTAATTGTCTGGGCTGGAGTCACTTTGTGGCCGCCTCCTCCTTTACCCAACCCGCCTTCACACACTGCCTTCAGAAAACCCATGGAGTTAATGCCCCTACCTTACTCTGTAAGTAGGTGATCGGCAGGTTGGAAAAAAAAAAAGCAGTAAGAGTTCCTTGGGGTGGGGCGGCTGGTGGGGGAGGCAGTGGGATTAGCGAATGGAGGTTGCCTGGGAGTGCTGGGAGCGGCACCGATCGGAATGTAGGAGAGATGAGTCCAGAAGCTCGGATGCGGGACAAAGCGAGAGTTAATAAGGAAAGATTGAAGGGGCTGGCGACAATGGGCCGCCACCCGAGTCGAGATGAAATTGCTTCCGAGGATTATTGGGAGACGGTGTGAGCGTTGTAGGCTTTTTGTGTGTGAGTGTGTGTTTGGTTGGGCATTTGTGTGTTTGTGCTCCAGTGTGTGTGTGTGTGCAGGGCAGGGCAGGGGGAGTGCTGGATTGATGGTTGCCCCTCTGGTTGGGGAGCAGGGGACCAGCGGAGGCTAACCGGCTGTTCCCACAGTCTGTTCTGCCGCAGCCACCTTTGACACACGGGGCTGCCAGGCGGTGAGCAGGCAGCCCTGGTAAGAAGGGCACAAACAAAAACAACTGCTACACAAAAGTCAGTATCTGTGGAGGGCCAGTGGAGAAGCCCAGGCTGGAGGTGAGGGTGTGAGGAAGGAGGAAAGGGATGAAGAGAAGGAGAGTTTGATAGGGAGGATAGAAAAAAGATGGAGATGTGCACGATGGTACAGTTGAGTCCTATTTTTGGTTTGGGCTAGGGTTAGGGTTATGTTTAGGGTTAACACATTGGCAGTATCACTGATGATCAAACCGGCACTTTTTCACATTGATAGTGAAACATTTTTGCAGCAGTATTTCCTTTATAAGCTGAAAACGCTTTGGTCTTCGGGCTTACTAACTGCTATATGGTCTATTTCCTTTCAGGATAGATTTATTTCTCATTTCATCAGCAAAACAGCTTCATTGAACCATAATGTGCTCATTCCAGGAACTCTCAACTTCAGGAGCAAAACAACAGGAGGAAAAGGCCAAAGTTAATAGAACTATTTTTTGCAAGGGTGTTCATGACTTAAGCTCAGAAAGGAAACGGTTTTCCCAGAGCCCAAATTTTTCTCCAGACAATAATGCAGCCATGTGGTCAATCACTGGAGAACACGCAGAGAAGATGATATGGCATAATGAAGGCACAGCAGCTTCGTATTAAAATTCCTGCTAAATTGTGGAAAAATGTATGCCCGTTGGGTGGAGTCGGCCTTAATTTGAAGGGCGTATGATAAAGAATTTAAAATTGGGTTAAGGTCGCCGCAATGAATGATAGGCTGCTCGCAGTGGTTGCAACGGACAATGCGCCGTGGCTTGGATCTGGCACTTGACCCTGATTTGATTTCCGTGCTGCCCAAAAATGTCATTGTAATACTAGAGTTTGACCAGCGGCCAGGTTCCAATTAATTAGGGCATTGTTATGATGGGAACACCCTCACACCGCTCATATGATAATCAGAAGCAGTTGTTTTGGTGCCATTAAGTGACCACAGGGCTATTATGTAATAAGATATGTGTTTACAGCCTGGTCACACACATATTGCATAAATAATTATAATCAACTAAACCTCACCTTGAGTTACAGAAAACTACCAAGTGGATTAACAGTGGTCAGTCCAATGGTCAAATTTAATAAAATTCAATTCAGATTTCTAGGAAACAACGAAAAGAGCGTGAGTGTGGCTGTGTGCACATATGTGTGTGTGAGTTTGTGCGCGTACCGAAGCCAGTACGTGTGGGTGTGTGGATGGCAGCTGGGAAGCAGACACAGTCCAGGAGAATCATCCCCTAGCAACTGACCTTTTCAGCAGATGGCAGTTCCAGAGTAACAGCCACCCAGCATCACAATGGCTGTGGCCTCCTAACATCTCCATCACTTCATCATCTACCGGCCTGCCACAACCCGTCACACAGCAGAGAGGGAAGGTTGCACTCATCCCAGCAGATGCACGCTTCTACGTACTCAAGTGCCCTCTTCTTTTTTTACAGCCTCTCACCTCAAGTCCAAAACATTCCACACATGCTAGTTTTGAGTCTCTGCTCAATTGTTCCCATGTTGCTGCAGGGGTAAGAAGCAAGGCAGTCGAGGAGATGCGGAGGAGGAGGATAGATTTAGAAAAGACACGGTGGACACACTCTACTGTCCGCAAACCCCCAGACACTCTCAAACCGCTGCTTTCCGTTGTTGGGTTTTCTGCACATAGGGAATCGGGGTGGGAATGCGGACAGACCACTCAACCACGGTGAGCAATCAGTATGATGTCTGTGGTCAGGCTCTGTGCCCCTGCGGAGCGAGATGGAGAGCAAGGCCTGCAGTTAAGGTGGGAGGGAGAGAACTTTGCGGTGTTTGTGCATGCATGCGTGTGTATGGGACACGCCAGCACACTTCACACATATATAAAGATGTTCTGAGTTATCAACAACCCCCCACCACCCTTTACACTGTGTGACCTCTTGGTTGTCTTGGCTTGATGGCCTCTATCAGAACAGAAAGTAAAACAAAGTTTGGTTTGATACTTCATACTCATAGTATGTTGGGCTTCTCAGTGTACAACAAAGACATGTCCACTGTTTTAAAAAAAAGCTGCATTAGTTAATCTGCAACCTGATGCCAGAATCTGAACCCTGACAGTGTCAGCTGATCAAAACTTGAAAAACACACATTATTTTTTTATGTAACTTTTGGTTTCCATGTGAGTCAGCAGTGGAAATCTGAACATGCTAATATGCTACAAAGTGAGGATATCTACTATTTCAATAAGCAATTACTGTAGATTGTGTCTGGAAACCAGTTACTGGAGTGAAATCACCAAAACAAACTCTGATAACATCTGGGATGAACCAAAGGGAAACTATAATGCCATTCAGTAGAGCACATACCTTAACCAGGGCCAACTGAAGCTGCACCAAATCTCACACACTCATATCAAGAGTTCCCTGAAAATGCGGAATGAATGTCAGTTCAAATGTTGACAACATATCTGGCAATGGTAAAGAGAGTGATAAACAATTCTTGGATCCGCCCCCTGATCCAGATTCACACCAGAATAGATTTTCTATGACCCAAGTCACATCCTTTGACTTTTTTGTTAGCTAATGAGGTTATGTTTTCACCCCTGTCTGTTTGTTGGTTGGTTCGTTTGTGAGCGGAATCACAATAAAACAACTGAACCAATTACCACAAAAGGATGAAAGATGGAAAAATGTGGTATGGATGAGGAAAGAACTTGTTAAATGTTGTGCAGATGAGGATCAGGGGTGGATCAAGGAATTGTTTATGACCCTCATTACAATTGGTGATGGGGGCATTTTCAGTCATTTCTCTGGGATTCATTCATGTATCTTGATGAAAAAAATCAGACACATTTAGGGAACTGATAATTCTGAGAATGTTACTTTTGGTGCAGCTTGATTGGATGTAAGGCCAATGATACCAAAGTAAAGTAGGAAACGCATTGTGATAGTTAATGCTATAATTAACTTTATGACTCTTGTTGCAACAGTCCCAACACATTCCTCAATTCCTTTAAAGGCTCCATTGAGTAAATGCCACTTGTCGATTCTCCAACTGGGATCACAGCAGGGCAAAAGTCACAGTCTGTCGTCTCTCTGGAGAACCATCCTCCAGCTGCTCATCTTGAAAAGGCTGAGAGCAGGAGGAAAGTCCTGACTCTGAGGTCGCTCGTCAAA